GAAGAACTACTTGGAGCAAGCCGTCCCAGGTCTACGCGTGCCGTTGCGACGATGGTCGCGTGGTTGTTTCCCGCTATGCGATGCATTCGACTCCTTTGAGTGGACGAAGCCACACGATGATATCAACGGGTGTTTCTCATTACAACGAGAATGTGGTTTGCGAAGACGATGCTGGCGACGCCATGACTTGCTGGACTTCGATACGCTCGCGGCGGGGCAGCCCGAGTGTAATAACGTCCTCGACGACGTGAGAGGGCGCACTCGATGGAACGGTGGCTGCCACGGCCATGTTCAGCCGGCGAGGGGGCTCTAGTGCCACGCGCTCATGGTTCGACGGTGGGTCCTTTACGGCCTTTCCATAGGTTGTGGTGACGGCCAACCCGGTCGCCCCCACACTCGTCACGTAGGACGGCGGTGCCACTTTACTCAGTTGCTCCAACGAGTCAAAGCCCCGGGTGCTGCCGGGGGAATAGAGCGAGACGGGGGGGCCGCGCTTGGTCAGGATCGCATCGACAAAACTAATATGATGGTGGGGCGACCGGTCGCACCAGTCTGTCGGGCCGTTGTGTCTGCCACGAGTGACGGGTGGAGACACGATCGTCATGCGATTCTTGTTCGTTTGGCGGCGGCGCCGGAGAGCTAAGAACACGGCGACGCTCCCAACGACGCAAACGCCGACAATGACGATCAGCGAGGAGCCAAGGCTGGACGTCGTGTCGTCAGAAGAGAGAGCCGAGGTCGCGGTGGAAGCTGGTGTATGGTCGGCACGCGAATCCCCGACGACGACGTCTGGAGTGGGTACAGTCTCCGCCGCGACGACATCGGGCACTCTGGACGACAGATAGGGCCCAGTGCTAGAAACCGTCGTGGGTACACTTGTGGATGGGATGGGTTTCGACTCTGCGTTGGATCGTGATGGCGATGGCGCATCAGGTGATGACGAGGTCGAGGGTGGCTGGGGCCAAGGATTTGGGGACGAAGTCGACGGCGACGGCGTTGGTTTGTTTGATGATGGCGAGGGAGGGCTTGTCGAAGTGGGGGACGTTGTTTGGGGAGAAGATGTAGTGCTGGGAGCGGGGACCCATGTAGACGTTGGTGGTGGCAGCGTGAGGGTGGTGGTTGGAAACGGCCGCGCGGTCCTGGTAGGGTCGACAGGTGGCCCGATCGTGATGTCGTCGGCCATCGTAGCACCCCCCATGCACACAGCAGTCGCCCAGACGCCCCACGCGAGTTGCCTGTGCATGGACGAGGTCGCTTGGGATTTGGGTCCGAGCCGGGGCATCTCCCCACCTTGATGCCATCGAACCACCCGTGGTGCACCTGGATACATATGGCACGACGACCACATGCATGATATCCTTCTCGATATGAATCAATTGATCTTAAATATAGTATGCAGTAATCGAGTTCAATGAACTCGGCGTTGCATCTGATTAGGTCGTTCCGATACATAGATGGTGCATGCCTTCTCCAAACAACTTGAATTCAGTATACCTCCTTCCGCAAACCTCGTGTGAGAATTACTGCCACGACAACAGGTCGCCATGGACCAGGTAGACGGTTCCAGGCTGAAGTGCCACGTCCACCAACGGTGTCTGTGCTCAACAAGATCGATGGAGACATGTTTCGCATGTTGCTTCGTGCGCTGGCTGCGCTACGATGACGCTGGAGCGACTCCTGGCGATACGCACGGCCGTCACTCGGCCGAGTTGTGCAGCGTCTGCGTGTGGATGTGCCTCCGCCGAGCCATCAAGTTGTCTGTGAAAACGTCCACGATCGCCGACTGCTCCGTGAGGAACGCGTCGACGGCGTCCAGGTCAACTCGTCCATGGAGGTGCCGAAAGGGCCGGTACAGTTGGAACAGTGTCTCGACGCGATGGACGAGGGCATCTTCGTCGTCGGTCGACGTGCAGAACAAACACAGCACGCGCAGGACATGGAATACATACACCGTGGACGCGGCCGCGTACATCGCGAGGAGCTCCATCACGACGTCTTTCATGCTGCTGGCGCGCGTGTTTGCGTTGGACATTCGTAGCGCCTTGACCGTCGAGATCACGTCGCGCATGTCGAGGCAGTCGGTGTGTGTCGGGTCGAACGATGAGTACATGAGGTTGACATTTGACTCGCCAAAGGCAGGGTACTCTTTGGCAAACAGCTCCCGACCTACCGCAGCCACACACCGTGCATCAGGTGCTGCTGCTGCCGCCACCGTCCACGACCAGAGACAAGTCCCCTTACATTGGTCTCGCGAGAGCTCGAAAGGGTTTGCGCGCTTTTGCCGTGTGCCCTGCTCCGCGATTCGTTCCAGGAGCAGCGACAGCTCTTGCAGCAACGGCCGGTTGAACACGCTTCGTCGCATGGCATCAATGAGGACGAACATCTGCAGACACAGCGCATTGCGAGCGTATTCCATCTCCCATCCCGTTGTACCGTTCTCCACCGCAGGTCGTATTTGCATTGCATGAGCTTGGTGGAGATGGCCGCGACGCGAGCGGGTCCTGCAGTCTTGATGAGCGTCATTTCCTTCATGGCTTTAGCTGGCACTTTGGCGTGGTGGACGTGTTTGCTGAGCTCGACGCGTTGCTGCTCGCGTACGTCGTCGAGGACGTCGCGGGTGGCTGCACATTTCGCTCGCTCGGCCTGTTGCTCTGGTACAGCGTCAAGCGCGGCAGACACACCGCCACGTACCTTGGAGCAAGGCGCTTTCGAGCGCTTTCAACTCGGCCTTGGTCTTTTCGTTGACACGCAATGCGTCCGGGTCGACGTCGCGCAGCTGGACCTTGACCTTTGATGCTGGATGCACATGGGGCTGCCGAGTGTTGTGAAACGACAGCGACGCGCCATACACGAACGCCGCCTCCTCGGACCACATCGTCGGGGACCCCCGAAGAGTTGGGCTCCACGTGTTCGGGTGCTGAAATTTGGCTAGGTTGGCCAGGCCAGATTCCAGGGACGGCGAAGGGTGGAGCTTGGTGGGGTGCATGGTTGGCACTGTGCCCGCCACGGTCTCTGCTGCACTCAACTGCACGGCCCCTCGAGCCCCGTACCTACGCAGTCCCCCACGACATCAGCTTCATTCCTTCCCAGCCCGACGCAATCGAAAGATCCAACTGCATGCACATGAATGCGTTGTCCATCCGCACCTCTTGGTCTTGGCGTGAAGCGTGCACGCTGGCCCTGTCCCGACGTTGTTGTGACCCATATACCACGGCTGGAGCTTTTGTAGTTGGTGCAGCTTGGACGTGCTTTGAGAGGCTTTGATAGGCGAGCAGATGGGCAGGGCGTTGTGAGGTGCAGTGGGCTTTGTCACAGCGAGAGGGGACGCTGCGGGGGGCAGCGCCGCCCGCTCCCGGCTATACATGTGGCGGGATATTGCCGTTTGCCGCTCCCTCGACACGGGCGATGGCAAGTGGTGCACGCGATCCTTGAGGAACTGATCGTCGAGAGACACTTGGTACAGCTGGGACAGCCGCTTCGACTCGACTGCTTGCACATCCGTTTCCGCGCCGGGATGGACAATCGACGACCGGCAAAAGTCGTCCAGGATGCTGTCAATGCGCTCGTTAACAGTCTGCCGGCGGCCCCGCGACCCCTGTGTGATGGCGGCCATGGCACCCTCGGCGTGTGACGGTTTCACAAACGGTTTCGTCCAGCACCGTCGA